ATTTGAGATAAACTGAATGGTTAGATCAAGTGTTATGATTTTCTAAAGTTTGGGTAAGAAAATCCTTCGCAAGAAAAATATATTTTGAAGGGATTTTATTATATTTGGAGTTTTATACAAAAATAAAGGAGTTTTGGAAGCTAAGACAAGAATCATATAAAGGTTTAAGCTACACTCTCTATATCTAGATACCCAATGTATTCCCAGATAGCAAATCACGCCATATGACAATGCGACAAATATAATTTGACACATCTTGGACTTTATTAATATGTAATCACCGTTCTTCAAGGAACTCATTCTTAGAAGGGGGGATAATGTCAAAAACATACATATTTATCCTAATAATTATCTAGATAATAAGAATAAGTAGAAATAAATCAAAATAGATAAATATGATAATATCTTGTAGAAAGCTTCATAGAAGCTTCATAGATACTATTTTCTCTTTATACATGCCTATAGGTGATTGATAGGTGAAAACTTGGCCAACAAGGATGCCACATGTCAACATGTTGACCACTTGTAGTAGAAGTTGGACATATAGCACACACCTAAGAAATTTGCCTTGCAAATTAGACATGTATCTTACAAGTTGGAAATATATTAGAGGTCTTATCGCATGTCGCCACTAAAGACTTCTGTCCTAATAGCTGTAGGATTTGATCAATAGGATTAGATATATGAGTCTTGATATAGTATAAGTAATCTATTTCGAGATTGTGAGGCATTACTAAGTGAGGTAGACACATTTTGTACCCTTGTAGCTTAAATTCTTGTTTGGTCTTAACAAATACAAAATCAAGTTTATCACCAAGCCTTGCTTCAATACCTAGATCTTTCAATCTATTGCTATACACTAGCAAAGGTATGCTAGCACTAAAGTATTCCTTTCCTAATGTCTTTGTAATTACTAAACTTTCTAAAAGGATGTGACCTCTTACTATAGACAACAGCTCAGCTCTAACAAACTCCATTATGTGTTCATATGGTAATGAGTTCATAATCATCTCTACTAATGATGAATACATGTGCTTGAAAAATATGCAACTATCTCTTCTGGACACAACAACTCCCTTGTATACCATCTTACGTTCACCAGCTATAAGTCCTATATATCTCTTCTTTATTATTAAAAAGAATATTTCAAACACAGCTTCAAACTCAAGCTTTACAAGTGCAAGAAACTCTTTTGATACTTCATTAGATATACGTACAGCTAATGCTTTACATGACTCATAATACTAAGCAGTATCAGATGTGAACATACACGAGTCGGTATCACCATACACCAACTGTACTAGATATCTGGATGATATGATGCTTGATGCGTACATGAGCATGGATCTACCTATTGTTGTTGTAGACTCTGTACCTTCTATAAATTGTAAGTATGAAGAATTGTGAGTCCCATATGAACCATATACAGAATTAGCTAATATCTTTAGAGGGAGTTGTCTCCTTTCAAGAACTACCTTTTCTATTCCTATAGCCGTACTAGATTGTATCTTAACTTCCTTTCTCTTTAGTATTAATGTCCTTAATAGAGATGGTACCAATCCTAAAGGCTCTTTAGCAAACATGTAAGACTTCTTGTCAAATACTTGCACAATGAAATAAGATTGATTAGAATTTCTTTTAATAAATATTGAGTAGCATATATTATGATTTATTATAACAAAAGGATACAAACTTGAGAAGTCAAGTAAAGAACACCATTTATAAAGTCCAGAAGTAGGATTTGATACTATAGCTCCTTCATACTCAAACTCTTCAAGTAGAGAATCTGTTCTGTCAAATACAACACCTTTGTCATAACATTCTTTGTATAGTTAGGACTTTACTCTTATTTGTTGACCTCTAGTATAGAGATCTCTAATCCTTGTTCTTGCAACAATTGACATTTCTGTCACGCTAACCTATATATTCATATTATCAAACAATGCAATAGTTAGTAATGAATCTATTATATCATATATACTTCTTAATTAAGTAGTATATATAGAGAGAAGAGAGAGGCCTTCCTTACTCTTGTCAACTCCTTTCTTGCTTTTAGTTTAGTTTCAAGAGTCTTATATTTTTTAGTCTTTGGCAATAGCCATTACAATTCTTCTTTGAATATACATACTTTCTTTTATTTTGTCATTTTTTTTTTTATACAGATTCTACAAGTTTATGTATCTTTTCCAATTTGTGTTCTTGACACCAGATTTCAAATCTTGTAAGAATCAATCTATCATCTCCACCTCTGAAGTATTGCTAATTTAGAGATATAAGAACTTGAATTGGGAGACATAAGCTTGCATCGACCTAACTTGTGTAAGATTTCCCAACTGATCTGATGCTATCTTCTTCGCATTGATGGATCAAAATTGATTTTTAAACTCAGTCTCAAATTCCTTCTAGTCACAAAATTTATCTTAAATTCTATAATTTTGAACTTGATGTTATCATCAAATGGCTACAGCATCTCTCAAATAGTTGGCTACATATATAATTCCTTCAATGATATTTGTCTCTAATAGTTAGAGGTATTGTCGCATGTTCAAGAGCCATTGACATACAACTTCTTGTCTTAAACTTCCAAAGTATGTACTACGCTTATTCAATTTCAACTTAGTAGATGTTGACTCTCTTATCTTCAAGGCTTCTATTTGTCCTTGTAAAGTAGTTGTCTAGCTTAAGAGATATTATATTTGAGCCTCCATCTGGGATTGCTCCACTATATCTCCTATACTGTAATTTCTCCGCTAGATTCTATTATTATAATGCCTTTTCATCTCCCAATTGACTTTTAAGAGTATCTTATGATAGCTTCAACATATATCCAATGTGACCATAAGAATTGACCTTGGACTAAAACATAATTATTGATATGCTACCAAAAATAAACAGCCTAATACTCACTTTCATACTAATGAAATATGGCTAGACTATCTCAAAAACCTAAGATCCTTCTAATCCACAGCAATATAAAGCCTTATCACAAAATAATATAAAACAAATTAGAAAAAAATTCAACAAAACTAAACAAACAAAAATAGAACAAAACATATTCAAATAGAAAGAATATACTTTTACTTTAATTTAGAATATATTAAAATAAGTTACAAAAAATATTATAATTAATTTTTAAGTTTTAATTTTGTTATCAAAATGATATACAAAAAATATTTTTTTAAAACAATGAAGGATTTTTATATAAAAAAATATAAAAAATAGCCATGTTAGAATATAGAAGATAATAAAATTTAGATTAAAATATTTTTAAAATAATATTTTTTAGTTATTTTTTAAGTAGAAAAAGAAGAAAATTAATGAACAAGGAAATCCATGTTATCAGGCAATGCAATCTTAAGCTCATCCATCCATTTCCTTGTTAATCCATGTTCCCTAGTTCCTATGTTCTTGTATTTTTTGATTCCCATGTTCCCTTCTTCCTATGTTTTTTAAGTTTCTTGCATTTTCTAATTTCTCTTCTTCACAACCAATCAAAAGACTTCTTTGTCTCTTTATATTATATCCAAGTTGTCTCATATAATAGATATATTTCAATTTTATAGTTAAATAAGTTATAATAGATTATGTTCTTTTAGAAAGAAAACTTTGCATGTAAACTGAATAAAAGAGCTCATTATTAGTAATTTTGGAAAATCTCAAGAAATCATTTTATACATTATACCTTTGTAAATGGTTTGAAAGCACTAGATGGATTTTGAATAAAGTGGTTTCTGAAGGAATTATCCAATACTAGATGGGATATATGGTCAACATTTATTACATTTATAAATAAATTGATAAATAAGAGTATAATATATATATATATATATATATATATATTAGTAGACAAGGAGTGGCTATTTTTTAGATATTATGTCAAAGCCTTCCTTGCATACAAATTCAAAAACTTATATGGAACTATATCTTCTAGAAATATTCATTCTTACAACCTTGCAATTTGTGAAAATATAAATATAAACTTACAATTATAACATAAAATGGTTACTTGTCTTAAGTGTGTTTATTTGTATTAACTTTCTATACACATATTTATACAAAAACCCAATAATGTGTGCCACAGAACTCCACAACTTGCAGCCGCAAAGACTCAAAATGGGCACATCCGATGTGGCAAATTCAAGTTAACAAAACAGAGATGGGAATACGAAACAATGCTAAGAATAGGCGAGGGAGTGAGACTACGTCCGACTCTGGAGTCAAACCTCGCCACGGGGCTCATCCACCGCTGCCACGGCGTCGCCACAGCAGTCTGTGACGAATCTGGCCCCTTAACGGCGCCATCCCACGAAGGCTTTGGCAACTGCCGATTGGACTTCGCCACAACGTCATCTTCTCGTCGAATCGCCGACGTGGGGGCGTACCTGGTGGTCGAAAAGTGGAAGAATCCGACGGAGGATCGCCGAAGCCCGCAGCTCTCAAGGTTCCCCCTCCTCCCTCTATCATTAGTCTTGTTTAGTGGTATCTCTGTCTGGCCGAGAATCCAACCATTCCCTTTTGTCGACACACGACGGAGGTAGACCAGCAGCAAGCAACGCCAGAGCTCTTGCCGTCCAGCTACTACCGCTTCCGCTGAAGGTGGTCTCTTTCCGAGTGCGGCGCGGGAGCTAGGATCGTGCCTCGTGTGTGGATCCAGCATCGGACAGGCGCGACTGGCGAGGTTTGTTGTCTTCGCATCCGGATTGATTGTGTTGGGGGTGAGTCCAGGAGTTAGAGTTTCGTTAACCGCGATAAATGTAGTGTCGCCAGACTTGAAACTTTACTGGGGATTTGCGATTTCGTGCGGCTGCAAAGAGGTGGTGGTAATAGGCGTGGAACAGATTGGGCAGGCAGGCAGGCAGGCAGGCAGGTGGGTGGAACTGCGCGTGGGTGGTGTTATTGATGCGGGGAAATACCTGGAGGTGCGCGAATGGTTTGAGACATGGCGAGACGGCACGATGCAGGGGATGATGCAGGTGATGATGCAGGTGATGTTGTGAGATAAAAGTCATCGGTTATAACAACAGAGATCTCGAGTTCATGTGTGGGTGAGGGTGAGGAATCAATAAGGTACACATGTGAAGGTGGTGGCGGCTGACGGGCTTTGACTGCTGATGGTTCTGTTAATGCCTTGCCTTAGTGCCTACGATGTTGTGTTTTGCCCGTTTGTCACTCGCGACCCTACACGCTGCCTACGAGTCATTCTCGCGAACGCGGCCGTTGGTAGCGGTCAAAAACTAGAATTATGCACCATTTGTGTCAGGTCTGGTAAATCTTCCCCGTCCTTCTCCGGACCCATCGTGTTCCGCTTCGAATCTCCATGTCCGACCCCAGAAGCTGACTTCAATTCGCTGCGTAACCTATTATTCACAGCACCGGCAATGGCGCAAGCTATGCATCGGACTCGCTTGCCCAATCTGCCTTCACCATTTATTTTTCATCTCTTCATTCTGCCGAACTCTTTATTTCGGGGAATCAACACTGCTCGGGTGTGGATCTTGGGTTGCGTTGGGCGTGCCTGTCTACATGATTCCGTTGGTAACTCTTCGTCGTGAAGCGCCCCAATTGGCCCTAACCCTGCTTTCCACCACCCCTGTTTCGCGGTTTCGGTACTCTTCCAGGACAGTAGTGTTGCTAGTGAAGATTCCGTAGGTGGGATGTGGTGTGTGCGTGGCGTAATCTCATAATCTTTGGAAGGGGGTACACCTCGGCCGTGGTGATTGGGCTCTTTCTTTCACCCTCGTGAGAACCCAACAAATTAGCTGCAGAGAGGACGATGCGTTGTAGCTTCGTGCATGTGGCCATGGGTTGAACAGCTCGGAAGCTGTAGCGGTGAGGTTAGGTCTTGGAATTGTTATGGCAAGACCCATGCGAGAGTGCGGCCTGCTCAAGGCCTGCAATTCGGGTCAGTGGGCAAGTGGTCCGAATTGCATATTCGAGTGTTGATCTCTGGGTCGTGCATGTGGTGGGGTTTTGTGTCGTGCCAAATCAGTGCATATCCTTAGACTGGAATGGGTCCCACAGGGCTTGATCGAAATTCGCCCCCGTCGTCAGGTCTTTGTGGTGCACCGGCGGACACAGAATTGGGGAGCGCGTAGTGGCAAGGCGTTGCGTTTGCATCTGGTGCTAAGATCTGTGTGACTGCGACTGTATGCTTATGCTGTTCACGGTTCATGGACACGTAGTATTGTAGCTGTGGGATAGCGTCTCGCGTTGAGAGGATGGAGGTTGAACGTGTGGTAGGAGCTGGAAGGACTGTATTGTCTTCATGGTGTGGAATGGTTGTACTGGATTTGAGGGGACAATCTGTTGTATGGCAGCTTCCGTGATAAGTCGACACGGGCACTGAGTTGGAACTGATGAGTCCACGAGCACCTGGTGAACATGTGAAGGGCTGTTGGATTTTGCGCATTGTCTTGGTACAAGTGGGCTCACGGTGCTGGAAGGGGATTGTGGATTGGAGCGTGCAGGAAGGCGTGAAACAGGTGTTGGAGGAATCGGGGAAAAGCGGAATGAGTGCAGGGTGGGTTGTGGCAAGGTGTCGTAGTAGCTTAGGGAAGGAATCAGCTGTTGGCTGGTTTTAGATCCGGCTCATTTCTTGGAACAGGTATCCGTCGATCTCGGCAGAATGCAGCTGTTGACACGAATCGAAGGGGTTGTAATGGATTCCACCTGGTGGAACAGCTGCATTATTACGGACTCTGTATCAGGTGAAAGAGAAAGTTTGAGTAAGGCGTGGGTGCTGCCACTGGTCGTGACTGTTCAGTAGACATAGGACCCAGGGCGTCAAGGCAGCTGCAGCAGGGAATGGGTTTGTTTGAGGGCTGTATTTGAGGGGGCAACGTCAGCAGCGCTTGGATCCCTCGCAACCGGGTGATGTCGCGCAGTTTCTATGAGTTGCATGGCTTGTGGTGTTTACAGAAGTCATGAGGCATGATTGAGTTCCTGCACAGTTGCCAGGACAGCAATCCGGAGACGGGCAAATTTGATGCGGGCATGGTGCGGGTTCTAGGCTGCTCTTGGATACACGCGTCTGATGCAGCGTTGGGAGTGCCTTGCAAGAATGTAGCTTGTCATGGTGTAGGAGAAGGATAGACCTGCATCCAGAGTGGTGAGAAGCAGGTTTGAGTCCCGAGAAGGGGAGGTGAATGAGGGTACGCGTCCTGGATGCACAGGCATTGAGGGAGGAGTGAGCCAGATTGATGACGGAACTTTCGATGTAGGATCGGACCCGGCGCATCGCAGGAGCAACAATGTGTGGTGCAATCCATCGATTGCTGCGATTGTGTGACGAGAGTGAAAATGCGTGGTTGTGGCAAGCCTGAGATGTCAGTGGTTGTCTTCCTTTAGGGTTTGGAGATCGAAGGGGGAACGGCTTCGGGTTGTTGTGGTGCAGCTCTTTTGGTACTCAAGCTGGTTCGACGCGTCGGTGAGTGTGGATGCTTCATCTCGTGGCTAGCGGGTAAGCAATGGTCCAGTGAACGTAGGTGATGTGATGTTGAGGATTACTTGTGCATATGGCAAGAGTGGGAGGGGAAGGGCATTGGAGAGAGGATTCCGAGAGGCACGATTGAGGATGTGATGAGGAACTCGGCATCAAAACTTGGCGGCGACGGTACGGAGGACTTGAGGATGGCACGTTGGGCAATAGCAGGAGGCAGAGTGGTGAATCTCGTGGGTCAACTCTGAGTCGGATTGAAGACAGGCAGAGGTGCGCATCTGGGGCCACATGTTTTGGAAGCTAGGTGCTTGGTAGCAGCTACGGCTGAGTTATGAACCAGGGCTGGCATAGGGCTACGCATGGATTGTTGTCAATGCTTGAGGATGTTCACATTGTTTCAGGACAGGGGCGGATGCAGTATTGGTTGTAGAGGCGGAGGATTCGATACATCTTCGTCGAACGGTCGGTTCGATATGGTGAGCTACGAGGTGGATAGTCACTTCGTGGTGGCAGTTCATATCCAGACCGGCGATTGCAACGTGGGTCTTTTGTCGTGAGGGTGTAGAATACACAACAGATATGTTGTCTGGTGAGTGTCGTGGCGTTATGCTGCACAGAACGAGTAGAATGTCGGAGTGGGGCGGAGGAACTGGGAGGGAAGCATCCTGATGCTTGCGACGTCGATGTGTACACCAGATGGTTGGAGAGTGGAGAGAGAGGTGGGCGGATTATTTAGATTGAGTAGGAAGTGCAAGCGAAAAGCGGATTGGTTCATTATGGCATGAGTGTGGGGCATGCATCAAAGTTACTGCCGAGGGCGGCAGTAGCGTCAGTGTTGGGTTGGCCCTTGGACTCATCAACGTGCAAATGCTCCATCTGGAATGTTTTGTTGCACCCGTTGTGATCTCCCGCAGAAGCACATGCATTGGTAGCTTGAAGTCGAGGTTCTGATACGGTACGCTGGTGTGCGTTGTAAGTGGTATAAACGGGTCGTCGAGCAATGGGCTTGTGGTGGCACTCGGTTTATGTAGAACGTTGACACTCCGCGAAGGATTTTGAAGTATGGTGTGGGCATCGGGTCGTTCCGGTGTGCATTCCGGACAGATTTGTATGGTACTGTAGGGCAGAGCTCGGGGATGGTATGGGCAGACTGTTCCGTGAGTCATGTATGGATGCAAATCAGTAGCTGATGGGAGAATGTCCCTACAGGTGGCCGCACCACACGGCTAGAGATGGACACCACCATCGAGAAGCCGAGCGAGAGTGAGCCAGTTGAGGTTGAGACAGCATGTGCAGTCCAGCGTGGTGACGCTGAAGTGAAGCTATTGAGCAGCAAGTTGGAGTTGGTAGAGCCAGATTTGAAGGTCAGAATTGAGAACGAGAGTTTTCCGGTGAGTCCATCTGTGAGCACCAGTCCGGTTGGAAGCAACCTGCTGCCTTCACGTGCAAGAACTGCTGTGTGGAGGCAAAAAGTCCACTCGGGAGTTGGCGCACCAGTGTTGGCTGGGCAAAGGATTTTGGAATTTCCGAGCCCGGCGATGGTGAGTCAGATCGCTACCGCCATTGGTCCAGGGCAGAGGGTGCCGTACGAGAGCTGTAAACCGGAATCCAGTCCTGCACTTCCAGGGACGCTTCCCGTGGCATATCGGTCGCTTCCTCCTGCGGCAGGGGTTATGGGCTTGACCCCGAACCTTTTGACTCCGTCGCCAAGTATCCTGGTGCCATCTGCGGGGGTGCCACCCTTACCGGCAAGCTTGTCCCTGTATCCACCTGGTTTGCCACTCACTTCAGCGGGGCATCGGCGGATTCCAGCAGCTCTGTCCAATTTGACTTCGGCTGCGGGATGTTCAGACCCTCTGGCTTCGACAAATTTATGTCGACTTCCAGGGAGAACCCCGCAAGCTAATGGGAGCAGCACAAAGGCGCGATCGGAGCACATGTGCCATTCGTCGAGGCAGAGTTGCTCTCAGTATTGCCTTCAGGGATACAAGCTGTGTCTGTGGCACATTCTGGAGGATCCTTCCGCCCCATACAAGCAGTGTGACTTCGCGGAGTTTCCTAGCCGGGAGCGCTGCCGTTTTCCTGTGTCACTGAAGTCCGAGAATACCAGGTGAGAGAGCGAGAGAGAGAGAGAGATAGAGAGGGGGACCCGCGATAGATATCCAGCTGCTCATACTACACATGGATTTTAGCATAAAGCAACTCGGGTGTCTTCATCAGTTGCAAAATGGCCTGGGGTGTCCAGTTTGTGTTGATGAGGTTACTGAATACGGTGCTCAAGTACAACCTTCTCTGGAAGTTGTAATGAACGAAGGAGTTGGTTTTGGAAAGTAGGCACTATCGGTTGATGAGGGACGAGTCCTCAAGCGTGGAAGCGTGATGCTTTCGTGGCTGTGCTTGGGGTGGTGGCGAGCCCAGCAGATGGAGTGGGGTGGCAAGGGCTTTTCTGAGACGTGTGTTGGTGGGATGTTGCAGGTTCTGTCAAATGCACAAGCAGGTGAAGGGGTTTACCATAAATCCTGTGACACTGAAGAACCAGCAAGCCATGGAGCGTCCTCTTTTGGGGGAATTCTCGGTGCTGGTGGTGGCAGCTGCAGTTGCACATCAGATGGAGATAGTAGCGCCTCCAAAGCTTTGGGCTTCAGTTGTGGTGAACCACGTATCAGTGGTTCCACCATCATGTGGAAGTGGGTCTGTGAAGGAGGAATATGGGGCGTCGATGTTTCAGAGATCTATAAGCGGGAAGAAGGTAGGCGCACATGTGCACGGCGATGTGAAGCCCGGGGATGTGCCGTTTGCGCGCACGAATTTGAAACCGGCTGTAAGGAGAGCGCAAGGTCGGTTATATTCTTTGTCATAGATGCGTTGACTGGCAATGTGGGGGTAGGCGAGGCGAATAGGTGAAGCCGCATGAAGTGGTGGTGGGTGGGCGTAACAATTTATTGAGCTCAGTCACGTCGCTGTGGGATTGTCAGTGTGACCTCTTCTGCATGATTTCCTAGAATGTTGAGCAGAGTATTTTCCGGGTACTCGCGATTTAGTTCGGGTAGTACAGTGGCCTGGTTTTTCCATTTTGTGTGTTTTATGTATCTGTGGCGGAAACGAAATCGATTCGGGGCGAGATTGCGTTCCACCGGAAAGGCTGATCCTGTTCTCTGAATGAACTCAAAGTTAGAATGGGTTGTGCATTGTGTGTGTCGTTGGGAATCAAATAGTTGGAATTTGCGAAGCAGTAGACGTGGTGATCACCCTGGGTAGAGGAGTCCACGTGGACAGCCGGTTTGTGTATTGTGGCTTTCCTGGGGAGACTTGATTCGGAGTCGAGCGTTGGTGGTTTTCTTTGTCTGAAGGTGGTGGTCGCTGTCGTTTGGGTGTGTGAGCAGGGGGCTTGCAGATGAAGGAGGATGGGAAAGGATTCGGCAGCGCACAAGGATCCAGCACGAAGGTGTGCGTGGAATGCAACTTAGACAATGGGAGTTGCAGGACAAGCGGTTGTGGATATCAGGATGGCACCTCGATGACCATCGCGCAGTTGAAGGTTGGGCCTGCTTCCACGAAGGTCGCAAGCGAGCTGGAGAATTTCCGTGCCCAGCTAGGGAACCGGCTAAGCAGCCACGGGATCTCTCTTCCGTATACGATGCCCAGTAGTGGGGGGAAGGTGGGCACAGACCAGGGATTGAGTGGTGGTGCTAGAGGGTTCCATCGCAGCGGAAGTCCACATGATGAGAAGCTGATTCGGCCGAGCACTCCAGGGCAGGTTTTCATGAACGGAGGGTGTGCAAAGCGGCGGGCACACGATGCAGCAAGTGTTCCGTGCTTGGTGGATATCGGGCCTGTAGAGCTGAACAGGGTAGGTTTGATGTGCAGTCTGCAGCAGGTTCCAGGGATGCTACAAGGGAAGAGGTCATATGACCAGCTGAGTATCCTGCCGACAGTCGATTTTGGAGGCCTGGACATGGCCACGATGGGAGTGCGGTGTGGGCCTCGAGAGCCTCGAGCTATTCCTGGTTTGGCTATCAAACGCAAGTCTAAGGTGCAGACCCCGAGAGACAGCTCTTCTATGGGTCGAGGCCAGGTAGGTGTTACTCAGGTCCACGTTTGCTGCTGGATTGTAGGATTGGAGTGTGAGCTTATGACGAGTGCCTGAAACGGTGCGAGGAGGAACGTGGATAAGGGGTTGGACAGAGACATGGTTTGTGAGGTATAGAGAAGAGCGAACCGAGTGACGAGTGTGTCCAGTGGCCAGCTGAATAGTCGGTTGTAGATTCGGTTGTTGTACGCATGGTTTGGGTGTTTGCAGTTGATACGTTAAGGTGAAGAGGTTGGATGCTTGTGTGCAGGGGCGAAGGGTGTTCTTCTCGCGATTCGTTGGAGTGAGGAAGCGACCGTGGGGAGCCTATGGGGCTGAGATTCGTACGCCAGAGGGAAAGCGGTTGTGGCTGGGTACATTCACTACGGAGGAAGCCGCGGCTCGGGCATATGATGACGCCGCGAGAATTTTCCGGGGTAAGAGTGCAGTGACGAACTTTGTGCAGGGTTCTGAATTCGACTTCGGGATGAGTTCTCCTTTTGCTATGGGGTCGTCTTCGACTTCTATGGAAGAAGATAATGCGAGTGATGGGTCGGGCGCGAGAATGCGCTCAGCATTGAACATGAAGAAGAAAGATGGGGAGGCAGGAGTTGTGACACTTGGGATCGTGCAGTCGAACCTTGGTAGTGGCGATGGCATGGGGGCGGGGAACAAGATGGATGGTTTTGGTAGTCCTGTGGAAACCTTGAACTTGTTAGGTGGTTTTGGAACGAATGGCAAGGAAAATGTGCAAGCACTGCGCAGTGCATCCGAGGGTCCTGGTCGGACGCCAAGCGGGCATTTGAAAGTCACAAGGGGGGTGGCAAAGGAAAGTTCGAGGCGTAAACAGTCGCAGAAGGTGACAGGTCGTGGAGGGAGTTCGAAGAAGGGCGAGGACTTGGGCGGGTTGAGGTGGCCAGAGGAAAGGCTGGATGAAGGCACGTCAGGACCGGATCGGCTGTTATTGTTGAGCAATTTCGCGATCAGGCATGAAGGGATGGAGATGGAGGAAGGGCCGGATTCTTGTAAGAATGAATCGAAAGAGCAGGGAGCAGGTGCAGGGTCAGGTGTGGCTGGAACGGATTCCGGGGACTCGGACGAAGAGTCGGATGGCCCATCAGATGCGGAGCTGGGACTGGATTCTGCCTCAGGGTTGCGGGTGAAAATGGAGGAGGACGTCGGGGGTAGGGAAAAGTCCGCGGAGCCATTCGTTTGTGCAGAACTGAACGAAGAGGAGAAACAGCAGCTGTTGGAGCTCGGGAAAGCGGACCCCGAGTTTCGGTTGACAGGGGTGCGCAAGTCTCAGTCAGGAAGATTCGAAGCCACGATTTATGACCGCACGATGAGGAAGAAAATATATGTAGGAATGTACAGTTCCATGCTGGAGGCTGCCCGTGCACGCGATCAGAAAGCTCTGGATCTGGGATCCATGTCCACTCTGAACTTTCCCGAGATGAGAGCTATACAGGTGAACCTCTTGTTGTGCAGAATCACGTGGGGAAGGAACTGTTACGACGTTGTGAGTGACTGCGAGTCACATTTGACCACTGGGTAGACTTGGTTTCATCCGTGGCATCATGGTAGTTATGTGGTGTTTAAAAGATCATTCGATAGTTGCACTGCTCCGGCGCGGATCACTGTGGTGTTCGTCGTGAGTGTCTCCGGACATCCTGGTGGTTGCAAAGGAGTGTCGTAGTCGGATCTTGTAAGTAGTGGTGATCAGTTTGGGCGTGAATCACGTGGTACTGAACTTCGTTGGCAGCATGTCCTGGTTGGGCGGTGTTGCATTTTGTAGCAGACTTGACCGATTTGGTGGGCATGCATCTGGGTTTGTCACGTGGGATTGCATAGCGGTACACATTTGTTAAATCGCACACATGGTTTGGGTGCATGGCGAGGGTCATAGGAGGAGGGGTCCCGGATGGTGATTCTGATAGCTTAACGGATTAGAAGGGGGCTGTCTTGGGCAGTGGCGATTCTGTACAGAACAGTGCGGTGTGTATTTAAGGATATGGTGTCACCCGTGTGGTGGTTGCAGGCCATGAGGAATACGAAGGCGGGTGGAGGAGGTAGTAAGAAGAAGTCGAAGGCTGAAGATATTGCGCAGTCGTTTAAAAAGATACGACTGGCTTCGCAAAGCAAGTCGGATACGGACACAAGGAAAGTTCTGAAGCGGAAGGTGCCGGATAGTGAGGAGAAGTCAGAGTCGAATAAAGTGAAATCTTTGAAATGCAAAGCACCGATGCCAAGGTTGGAGGGTTCGGAATTGAAGGCTTTTGACGGGAGTAATGCGATGGAGACGGATGAGGAAGATGCGTTGAAAGGTGAGAAGCAGGTGCCTGCGAAAGCCTCGACAAATTCTCCAGGTTTACTCCAAGCTGGTCGTGTTGGTCTTTGGATGTTGGGATGGTTGCGCATGGGCTTGTGCATGTCAGCTAGTGTTGCGCCTTTTGAGCTGAGGCGTTTGAAGCGATGTGGTGCTGGAAGTGCGGGTTGAAGTACTTGGGGCACAAGTATATGGGTTGTGTGCACATGCATGTGAGGCGCGATACTGACAGCGAATGCATGTGCACATGCAGCAGCTTCAAACAAGAAGGGCGGTGCAGCGAAAGCACCTAGAAGCAGCATAAGCTCAGGGCATGAGAAGTTGGGGGGCGAGGCTGCCGAAACGGCGTCTCACAAGGCGAAGCGGAAATCTGTGGAGTTCCAGAAATCGGAAATGGAGTCGGAGAAAGAGGCTCTGAAACTCAAGAAGCAGAAAGTGGAGGAAGCGAAGGAGGTAAGTACAGCCGTGAAGAGGCGACGTGCCCCTAGCGCGAAGGGCAAGGCAAATGGTGGAGCATCTGGTCAAGAGGCCTGTTCTACTACAAAAGAGGACGGAAAGGACAGCGACGGTGTGAAGCAGGAATCCGGCATGGTTGGTCAAGGAAATCAAGCAGGTCATAGAGCTTCACGGAAAAGCAACATACACAGGTTAGTGTCAAAGTCTGGAGGTTTTGTTTTATTGCTCAGGATGTGCGGAAGGCGTTTTGGTTTTGTGGCAGATGGTGATTTTTGCATTGTATATTTGCAGAGCCTTTGCGGATAGCTTTGTGGAATCTGACTACGCGCGAGTGTACAAGACAACATCAAAGCGGAGGGCCATGCTGGACAAGGTTGGGAGGAAGTCGGACAGCTCCTCTACGATTCCCAGCGCAGAGAAGAGCCCGGCTACTTCACCAAAAGAAACAACTCCGAATCCATCAAGGTCGCGGAGGGAGAGGAAATTTCAAGGGGAGGAGGACGAAGCAAAGGGTAAAAACGGGGAGGAGAGAGGCGGACAAGGTCGCAAGAAGCCGCCGTTGTCGAAGTCAAAGTGCGCCCCTGCACGTGACGAGGAGCAGCAGCCCGCGCGGTCTCGATCAGCGGGGAAGAGCTCGGCGAAGGGGTCTGGGAAGCGAAGATCGCAGCGGAACTTTATGGGAGTGCAAGCAACTCCAAGCGGACGGTTCAAGGCGAAAATCTACGTCCCCAGGACAAAGAAGCATATTTATATCGGGATATACGACACACCCGAAGAGGCAGCTCATGCTTACGATGAAGTAGCCTACCGAAAGCGTGGTGCGACAGCCCCTCTGAACTTTCCGGAAGCATTTCATGCAAAAATCAAAGCCAAACAGCCGATCAAGAAAGTGGTTATCCAGCTGACAGATGCGGGAGACTTTGAGGCGATGTGCTACGACCCCAAGGCGCAGGATTATCATTCTGTGGGCGTGTTTAGTTCAGTAGATGCCGCCCGTCGAGCGGGTGCTCGTGAAGCAGCCACCATGGATTCGGGCAACTCGGAAGCGTCTGGGAGGGATGAAGGCGATGGCGATGGGGATGGGGACGGCGACGGCGAGTCGTGGAGTACGAAGTACGACAGTGGTTTGAAGAGCAAGACCATGACAGGGAAGCACAGCAAGCCTGGTGATGCAGGAAACACGGGTTCGCCTGTCGGGCAGGATGTCGAAGAAGGTGGTTCGGATGAGGATGACGTGGCGGTTGCGGAGCAGTCGCAGAAGGCGTCAGTGAGATCCATGCGGTCGAAGAAAGGAACGTTTGCGCGGGCATCTATGAACAAGAAGGCGAGTCGGCGAGGAAACATGACGCGGCGGGCGGACTTCAGAGGCGTGTATTGCAATGGACACAAGTTCCAGTCGATATATTACAATCCCGCAACCAAGAAGCATACGTATCTGGGCACATTTTTGACTGCGGAGGAGGCTGCCCGAGCTCATGACCAGGTAATGTGCCGCGTGTTGCTAGTGGTGTGTGCAGGAGTTTTGCATGAGGATGCTTCCTCTCGTGTCACGTGGGTTTTGTGGAGCAAAGGAGTCGTTGTTACGTTCACTTGAAAATAGAAGCACCTACTTGGAAGTGTGTGGACACGAAGCTCGGAAAAGATGCAGGTTGCCAAGTTGGATTGCATGCTGGATTCTTCTCGTAGAACCTCACCCCTAAAAAGCGGCTCTCCAATACCGGGGGCGCCCTTGCCAGTCCTGGGATTCTCGTGCCTTATAGCCTCTAGTGATGGAGGTTCCGAGGTACTGGAAGTTCCTCTTTGGAGAATCCCAGATACCGAAGCAAGCCAGCGCTTCCAAGAACACTGAGTGTTGAGAAGCCTCTGTGGAAGTGATGATGCATGGGGGGAATCTATGTTGCAATTAGAGAAGGGGGTGGATATTGGGTTTCGACAGCCAGAAGGTTTCGTATGGTGTGCGTCCAGAATCTCATGTGTCCTTGTGCGTAAACGTGGATGTTGGATTTGTGGATGTGGTGCGTAGGTGGCGTTTGGGCAGTTTGGGGAGGAAGCTAAGTTGAACTTACCTGAAGAAATTGAGACGCTGAGAAGAACTGTTAAGGTGATCGGAAACAACGCAGTTCTGATGAACCGCAGCAAAGCGAAAGAAGCAGAGGAGGATGGCGAAGAGGAAGAGGAAGATGGAGGAGATTCACGTTCTTCTAGTCCGGTTGCTAGCCGAAAGGAGGAGGTGGAAGATGCAGAAGCTCCAGTAGACGGTGACATGGCTGAAGCCGTGGAGGATGAAGAGGAAGAGCGAGGTTCACCCGGTAATTCGCCTTCGAAGCCAAGCCAGATGGGCGGAATTTGGAGCAAGTCCAAGTGGTTCAAGGATGATTGTTTGGACATTGTTTTGAAGAAGGGCAACAGTGGCGAGAACGCGTGTAGTGGTGGTATTCCTGGTCGTAGTGGTGATGTAAAGTCGTCTGAGAAGCCTAGTGCGGGGTCGAAGCTGTGCAGTGGCGAGCGTGGTGGAGGTGCCGAAGATTGGAAGACTTCGGAGCAGGGGAATCGGGAAAAGGGAGGTAGAGATGAATTGCGATTAGGAAGCGACGTGGAAGAGAGAGCGGGGAGGCGAATCTCCCGTCGCAAGATGTATCGTGCAAGTCGCATTGGGACCCCAGGCAGTGTTCTCGAGGAAGTCGTGAGGATTTCTTTGGAGAAGGATAAAATTAGAGAAGAGCAGGAAGGGAAGGATGAGTGGGAAGGGGAGAAAAGTTTGGGTGGAGGGCAAAGTGGGGCCTCGGTGGAGGAAAAGAAGTGTCAAGGTAGTTCCAGCCAACAGGTGTTGCGAAGGAGTCGCAGGAATACCCCTCCGCCGAAAAGCTCAGTCGTGGAAGCTGGTGCCGTGTCAGTGCCTGAGAAGGGCCAGAGTGAGGAGCAAAGCGAGGCAGGGCCAGCCATGCCTTTGTTTGATGCGTTGGCAGGAGAATTCCTGAAGGCGAGTATTGTGTTGGAAACGGCTGAAACTGATGTAGGTGAAGGCCGGCTTCACAAGGAAGGCGAAACATCTGTGACTCGTGCGACACATGAAACTCACGGTGAAGTTGTGAACGGCGACCGGCTTGGGAATGAGGCTTTGGAAGCCCCCGAGGGCGAGATTGGCGCCACGAGAGGTTTGGCAGGGAACCCGGCATCGATGACTTCGAGTGAGAATGCGGGCCTTGCTGACGATGACGCATAGTGGGCAATCGGATGGCATCGTCAGTCAATACTCATGTGAGAGCCCCTCGCGCAGCTTAGGGTGGCGTGATTGTAATTTTCAGAGCGTGGAGGCTGGAGGCAGCATCCCTCACCCAAAGCATTGTGTTGAAGAGTTGGTCTTGGGATCAGCTTGAAGAGAGTCGTAAACGGCTTTGTGCGGTTCTTGAGCTGGAAGCTAGGCTGGCGTTACGGGGATGATCTTGTGAAGCGCTTTGTGGGAGCCGCAGACGTCCAAGCACAGGTCGGAATTGGATTACAAATGTTGGTATACGTGGATTGGGACGTGTGCAGATTCGATCGGAAGAAGGGGTCCTGAAGATTGTACAGAAAGTTGCAGCAGTTTGTGCAGCTGTGATGTGACTTCTAAATTTCCTCTGAGCGAGGGATTACATTGTAAAGATTGGTTAGAGTCAGGTTGTGGGGGTAAGTTTAGGTAGTTGTACACGAAACAGAATTTTGAAGGAATGCGGCGAATGTCCCCCATCACCCATTATTTAATCTATGCTCATTTGGCTACTGCCGTAGCTGCTGCTTTCTGTGCGCTTGGTAGGGTTTATTTTGGCGATTTCGGCTGTGGTTTCTATTGTGTTTGTGGTTTGTGTTTTTATTTGTATATTTAAAGTTGTGGGTTCGTTGTTTCTGAGAAGCTGGGAAAGAGAGTTTAAGGGGCTTTGTTTATAAATTTAGATGGATCATCTACTTCTTTGTAAATTTATGCTTTTCTCTTGTTGTATAAATAATCATTCACCTTGTGCTACATCCACACATACTTTTAATGAATGTTGTAGATTAGTTTGCAATTCAAGCCTAATATAAGTTCATACATATTCCATCTTTTGTCTTCATTAATTTTGCATTTTTTATAATGACATTGTATGTAGCAATCTTGGTACATGCACCATTAGAGCCCACTTGTTTGGAAGATGGCCAAAAAGTAGAAACAATTTGATGAATGAGTAAGTAGGATGAGAATTAGGTTGGGTTATTACAAATCTTAGTACGTTCATGCCTATTCACCCTATGTGCATGATACTTGGTGAACAACTTCCAAATGGTCTTTTTTGTAGTTGTATTGCATTCTTATTATAAAAATGCATCTTAGAAGTTTTGATTGATGTAGATGAAGCAAAAAAAAGAAATGAAATACTTATAAAAAGATGTTGTGATTGCTTACTTTGTAGGGCCTTATCAACCATAGTATGCAATCCAAGACTTACTTGGCCAACTTAGAACTGAGATATAATATGATATTGAGTTAAGAAAGGATCTTGGATATGGCTTCTTCTTAATCATAACTAAGAACAAAAAAGTTGTACAAAGAATCATGATGCATACTCTACATCTTTTTCAATGAGATACATGCATTTTTACTTATAGTTATTCAAGTTTAATCCCAACCATCTAATAGGCTTGAAAATGGTGATCAAGTTTATCTTGAAGAGAGTACCAAAGATACTCAAAAATATCACATAAGATATAGTGCACCATCTGGGAGTTGTGGTGGATAGAGATTATAATTATCCTATCAATGCAAATCAAATGTTTTACATTGCAATTATGTCCAACATTCTATACAAACTTACAATTAATATGACTAATCATGTTATTGGGGTATTATTACACATTCAAGTAGATTATAACCACCTTCTGATATACTACTCATATTGCTTATCTACCTCTGATCTAAGAATGAAGTGCCATGTACTAAGCAAACAAAGGCAAAGAGGTAGTACTGAAGAAAATAAAAAAGAGAACTCAAGTCGAGTGAATCCAACTTTGCCCAAGGAAGTGGTGGATCAACTTACTACAATAGATTAGTAGATATCTTCAAAATTTGAATATATCTCTTTGCTTGTGAGTAATAAAAGTCAAGTGTTGCTAAAGTGGGTTCGCACAATTGATTTTTCAATGATCTTGTGTAAAAAATAACACACTCTAAACTTTTAGAGTGCTTCCAATAAGTCATCTCAAGAGAGATTGAAGCCTACCTTTGATCCAAATTAAAAATCACCACAACTAAAATCATTTATTAAGGTGATTTGGATATTTGAAGCAAAACACTATGGATATGAATCTTCTTCAAATACATCTGAGTTTAATAATATGTATGAATATATTGAAGCTTGGCTTAAATGGCATGATTGCAAGAGCAATGAAGATAAGCTACTACTTGCCCATTGATGCTATATTCTAAGTAACATCATAGATACAAGAATTGTGATGTATAGAGATTATAATTATCCTATCAATGCAAATCAAATATTTAACATTGCAATTATGTATGGATATAGACATATGTAAAAAAGAATTGAGAGTTGATTTCAGCAAAAATATCCTTAAAAAGACAAAAATTAATTCTTAGAGAGGACCAATTGTCAATTTGAGTTGATATTAGACCTAGAGGCACGAATTTATGCATCTACAGAAAACTTGTGATCCTTTTATAAATTAAACTAATTAAACTAATTAAAATTTAATATAATTAAACTTCAACTAAACTTTAAGCAATCACAACATCTTTTTATAAGTATTTCATTTCTTTTTTTTGCTTCATCTACATCAATCAAAACTTCTAAGATGCATTTTTATAATAAGAATGCAATACAACTACAAAAAAGACCATTTGGAAGTTGTTCACCAAGTATCATGCACATAGGGTGAATAGGCATGAACGTACTAAGATTTGTAATAACCCAACCTAATTCTCATCCTACTTACTCATTCATCAAATTGTTTCTACTTTTTGGCCATCTTCCAAACAAGTGGGCTCTAATGGTGCATGTACCAAGATTGCTACATACAATGTCATTATAAAAAATGCAAAATTAATGAAGACAAAAGATGGAATATGTATGAACTTATATTAGGCTTGAATTGCAAACTAATCTACAACATTCATTAAAAGTATGTGTGGATGTAGCACAAGGTGAATGATTATTTATACAACAAGAGAAAAGCATAAATTTACAAAGAAGTAGATGATCCATCTAAATTTATAAACAAAGCCCCTTAAACTCTCTTTCCCAGCTTCTCAGAAACAACGAACCCACAACTTTAAATATACAAATAAAAACACAAACCACAGACACAATAGAAACCACAGCCGAAATCGCCAAAATAAACCCTACCAAGCGCACAGAAAGCAGCAGCTACGGCAGTAGCCAAATGAGCATAGATTAAATAATGGGTGATGGGGGACATTCGCCGCATTCCTTCAAAATTCTGTTTCGTGTACAACTACCTAAACTTACCCCCACAACCTGACTCTAACCAATCTTTACAATGTAATCCCTCGCTCAGAGGAAATTTAGAAGTCACATCACAGCTGCACAAACTGCTGCAACTTTCTGTACAATCTTCAGGACCCCTTCTTCCGATCGAATCTGCACACGTCCCAATCCACGTATACCAACATTTGTAATCCAATTCCGACCTGTGCTTGGACGTCTGCGGCTCCCACAAAGCGCTTCACAAGATCATCCCCGTAACGCCAGCCTAGCTTCCAGCTCAAGAACCGCACAAAGCCGTTTACGACTCTCTTCAAGCTGATCCCAAGACCAACTCTTCAACACAATGCTTTGGGTGAGGGATGCTGCCTCCAGCCTCCACGCTCTGAAAATTACAATCACGCCACCCTAAGCTGCGCGAGGGGCTCTCACATGAGTATTGACTGACGATGCCATCCGATTGCCCACTATGCGTCATCGTCAGCAAGGCCCGCATTCTCACTCGAAGTCATCGATGCCGGGTTCCCTGCCAAACCTCTCGTGGCGCCAATCTCGCCCTCGGGGGCTTCCAAAGCCTCATTCCCAAGCCGGTCGCCGTTCACAACTTCACCGTGAGTTTCATGTGTCGCACGAGTCACAGATGTTTCGCCTTCCTTGTGAAGCCGGCCTTCACCTACATCAGTTTCAGCCGTTTCCAACACAATACTCGCCTTCAGGAATTCTCCTGCCAACGCATCAAACAAAGGCATGGCTGGCCCTGCCTCGCTTTGCTCCTCACTCTGGCCCTTCTCAGGCACTGACACGGCACCAGCTTCCACGACTGAGCTTTTCGGCGGAGGGGTATTCCTGCGACTCCTTCGCAACACCTGTTGGCTGGAACTACCTTGACACTTCTTTTCCTCCACCGAGGCCCCACTTTGCCCTCCACCCAAACTTTTCTCCCCTTCCCACTCATCCTTCCCTTCCTGCTCTTCTCTAATTTTATCCTTCTCCAAAGAAATCCTCACGACTTCCTCGAGAACACTGCCTGGGGTCCCAATGCGACTTGCACGATACATCTTGCGACGGGAGATTCGCCTCCCCGCTCTCTCTTCCACGTCGCTTCCTAATCGCAATTCATCTCTACCTCCCTTTTCCCGATTCCCCTGCTCCGAAGTCTTCCAATCTTCGGCACCTCCACCACGCTCGCCACTGCACAGCTTCGACCCCGCACTAGGCTTCTCAGACGACTTTACATCACCACTACGACCAGGAATACCACCACTACACGCGTTCTCGCCACTGTTGCCCTTCTTCAAAACAATGTCCAAACAATCATCCTTGAACCACTTGGACTTGCTCCAAATTCCGCCCATCTGGCTTGGCTTCGAAGGCGAATTACCGGGTGAACCTCGCTCTTCCTCTTCATCCTCCACGGCTTCAGCCATGTCACCGTCTACTGGAGCTTCTGCATCTTCCACCTCCTCCTTTCGGCTAGCAACCGGACTAGAAGAACGTGAATCTCCTCCATCTTCCTCTTCCTCTTCGCCATCCTCCTCTGCTTCTTTCGCTTTGCTGCGGTTCATCAGAACTGCGTTGTTTCCGATCACCTTAACAGTTCTTCTCAGCGTCTCAATTTCTTCAGGTAAGTTCAACTTAGCTTCCTCCCCAAACTGCCCAAACGCCACCTACGCACCACATCCACAAATCCAACATCCACGTTTACGCACAAGGACACATGAGATTCTGGACGCACACCATACGAAACCTTCTGGCTGTCGAAACCCAATATCCACCCCCTTCTCTAATTGCAACATAGATTCCCCCCATGCATCATCACTTCCACAGAGGCTTCTCAACACTCAGTGTTCTTGGAAGCGCTGGCTTGCTTCGGTATCTGGGATTCTCCAAAGAGGAACTTCCAGTACCTCGGAACCTCCATCACTAGAGGCTATAAGGCACGAGAATCCCAGGACTGGCAAGGGCGCCCCCGGTATTGGAGAGCCGCTTTTTAGGGGTGAGGTTCTACGAGAAGAATCCAGCATGCAATCCAACTTGGCAACCTGCATCTTTTCCGAGCTTCGTGTCCACACACTTCCAAGTAGGTGCTTCTATTTTCAAGTGAACGTAACAACGACTCCTTTGCTCCACAAAACCCACGTGACACGAGAGGAAGCATCCTCATGCAAAACTCCTGCACACACCACTAGCAACACGCGGCACATTACCTGGTCATGAGCTCGGGCAGCCTCCTCCGCAGTCAAAAATGTGCCCAGATACGTATGCTTCTTGGTTGCGGGATTGTAATATATCGACTGGAACTTGTGTCCATTGCAATACACGCCTCTGAAGTCCGCCCGCCGCGTCATGTTTCCTCGCCGACTCGCCTTCTTGTTCATAGATGCCCGCGCAAACGTTCCTTTCTTCGACCGCATGGATCTCACTGACGCCTTCTGCGACTGCTCCGCAACCGCCACGTCGGCCTCATCCGAACCACCTTCTTCGACATCCTGCCCGACAGGCGAACCCGTGTTTCCTGCATCACCAGGCTTGCTGTGCTTCCCTGTCATGGTCTTGCTCTTCAAACCACTGTCGTACTTCGTACTCCACGACTCGCCGTCGCCGTCCCCATCCCCATCGCCATCGCCATCATCCCTCCCAGACGCTTCCGAGTTGCCCGAATCCATGATAACTGCTTCACGAGCACCCGTCCAGAGC